GCCACCTTAGGTGTACGTGGCTGGCGCCCTAGCCGGTTGAGCTATAGGTGCCGAGCCCGGACCTATGCTTTCATGTCTCTTGGGTATATACCTAGCAATGGAATTGCTGGATCACGTGGTAGCTCTATGTTTAGCTGTTTGAAGAACTACTAAACTATTTTCCAAAGTGGTTGTACTATTTTACTTTCTCATGGCAGGGGTGGGAGATAGTCCAATTTCTTGCTTTTATCTGTCTTTTTTTATTATAGTCATCCTAGTGCGTGTCAAGTGGTATCTCATTGCGGTTTTGATTTACATTTCCCTAGTGACTAATGATGTTGAACATCTTTTCATTTGCTTTTTGGCTACTGGTGTATTGTCAATGGAGAAATGCTTATTCAGATCCTTGCCCGATTCTAAATTGGGTTACCTCTTTATTCCTGAATTCTGACAGTTCTTTATATATTCCAGATACAAGTCTTTCACTTCCTACATACATATGTATGTATCATTTAAAACATTTTCTTCCATTTTCTGGGTTACCTTTTCACGTTCTTGCTGATATCCTTTGAAGCACATAAGTTTTAAATTTTGATGGTATCCAGTTTATTTTTTCTCTTGTTGTTTATGGCTCTGATGTCATAAGTAAGAAATTATTGCCTAATTCAAGTTCATAAGATTTGCTCCTATGTTTTCTTCTAAGAGAATAGTTTTAACTCATATTTTTGATCTTTGGTCCATTTTGTGGTAATTTTTACATATGGTGTGCAGAGGGGTTCGATTCTTTTATAGATGGATACCCAGTTGTCCCAGCACCATTTACTGAAGAGATTATTCTTTTCCCATTGAATTGTCTTGACATCTTTGTCAAAAACAATTGATGGAAAATGTGAAGATTTATTTTTGGACTCAATTCTGTTCCACTGAGCTGTATGTCTATGTTTTTGCCAGTATCACACTGTTTTGATTATTGTAAACGTGTAGTAACTTCTGAATTTAGGAAATATGAGTCTTCCAATTTTCCAAGATTGTTTTGGCTATCTTGAGTCTGTTGCATTTCCATATGAATTTTAGGATCAGTCAGTCAATTTCTGTAAATAATTCAGCTGACATATGGATGCAGATTTTGTTGAATGGGTAGACCAATTTTGGGGAATACTGCTGTCTTGACAATATTAAGTCTCTGATCCATGATTATGGGATGCCTTTCTGTTTATTTAGGTCTTTAATTTTTTTTTCCAGCAATGTTTTATAGTGTCAAGCATGAAAAATTTTTTTTTTTTTTTTAGTCAGAGTCTCATTTTGTCTCCTTTAGTTAAAGTGCTCTGGCATCATAGCTCACAGCAACCTCAAACCCCTGGGCTCAAGCAATTCTCTTGTTTCAGCCTCCTGAGTAGCTGAGACTACAGGCACCCCTCAAAATGCCCAGCTATTTTTAGAGACCAGGTTTCACTTTGGTTCAGGTTGGCCTCTCAGTGAGCTCAGGAGACCCTCCTGCCTCAGCCTCCCAGAGTGCTAGGATTACAGAAGTGAACCACCATGCCTGGCCAGCATGAAAGTTTTGAATATCCTTGTTAAATGTATTCCTAGCTCGGCGCCTGTAGCACAGTGGTTACCATGACAGCCACATACACAGAGACTAGAGGGTTCAAACCCGGCCTGGGCCTGCTAAACAACAATGACAACTGCAACAGAAAAATAGTCGGATGTTGTGGTGGGCACTTGTAGTCCCAGCTACTTGGGAGGCTGAGGCAAGAGAATTGCTTAAGCCCAAGAGTTTGAGGTTGCCGTGAGCTGTGACGCTACAGTGCTCTACTGAGGGAGACATGTGAAACTCTGTCTTAAATAAACTAATAAATAAAATGTATT